AAACTGGAAATACTGAACACATGCTTCCTGGAAAACACAGCAATCAGGGCAAGTACTGGACTCCCGTTCTCCGTAGCCAAGAGCTCTGGAAACTTTGGATTGAAGTGGATACAAAAGGGAGTATGGCTGATTCGTCATATATGGAGCGAGGAGCACAACAGATGGAAAACAGCTTCAGAACTACGCCCACAGTTGACGGGACTTCGAAATACAGAGACCAACCTTGAGCAATATCACACTGGCAATCCCGAAGAGCTGGGTACAGATCCTCTCTCAGGCCTCCGGTAAGTTCAGCGAACAACAATGGCTCCAACCCCCAGTCCCGCTGAATACTTACTACAGAATCGACAAGGTCAATGAAGACGGTTCGCACGAAGCTTCAGAATGGAAATACCTAAACTCCAGACTCGTGCAAACCAAGGAGACGTCACCCACAGATCTGTCAGACATGCAAGAAGTCCAAGTACAGCAGAAGAAAGACTCCAACGGGCGGACCTCTATACAGATCACCTCACGTCCTTCCACCAGGATGGATGGGAAGGTGGACACAGAGAAGTATGGATGGATCATCTCTGACAACCTGGGCAACCAAAGGAAAATCCCCATCTCAGAGTATTCTGCGAAGACTGGTTACAATCTTCAATCAGAGCCCCACTCGCTTCAGGCTGACCTTACTATGAATTGGCAGCATAAGATGACATCATTAAAGTTGCCTTCTTTCTCCCCCAAATGGATATTCCTTTTCATCCATCTTATACTCTCTTCATTAGAGACCAAAGTAGGAGGGCTCCAATGGCTTCATTTGCACTCCTGCGTACCTACCGCTATGTGGTGTTCAGAGAAAGGTATGGATGTCTCCACGACATGTGATGTCTGTCCTCACCAGGCTTTGGAGGATTGGTTGCACCTTTGGTGGGAATGCGTTATTGCCAGGGGTTTCTGGGACTACCTCAATAAGCTGTGGTTTCAGGCTCATGGTATAGGTAACTTCTGGTCCTTAGATTTGGTTGTCACAGGTAGAATTGGGCAACAATTCCATAAACAACAGATTGGATGGATTACTCCGTTGTTCAGAGATAGAGTTTTCTGGTCTCTTTGGTTAGCTAGGAGGGACCGTAGGTTCCTGGATACCAGGTCCTCTCCCCCACTCTTTTAGCCCAGTTCAGACAGCAGATGAGAATAGTTATTATGGCCGACTAGATCAGGATTAAAAACAAGGTTTCCTCCAAGGAAGTGGCAGTGGCTCAGTTTCGGAAAAAATGGTCATCCCCCTTCCAATGGGCAGGGATATTAGAAGATGAAAAGCTACACTATTCAGATATTCTTTGGGATCACGCTACCTCCGGGCCTAGCTCCCATCATAGTTCAGACAGCTATAGAAGCTGAGAGGGCCGACAGGTAGTTGCTCTTTGGTCCTTTTGGTAATCTCCTCAGGACTCTGGTCCCGCTTCTCAGTCGACAGTAGGTAAGTTCAGAAATATCTATCAAGTCCGAGCCTAGCTCGTAAGCTAAGCTGGCTGAGGCTGCCAGGATAACTCCGGGTGGAATTGTGAGGTCCCCGGCCTCGAATCTGGTTTTTATTTAACAAAATGTCATGTTAAAAAAAAAAAAAAAAAAAAAAAAAAAAAATTCGGAGGCTCGGCCTAAGCGCCACCCAAACACGAAAAAAGTGTGCCGCTGCGGCCCCAGCCTTGCAGAAAAGTAAACTCGTAGCTTACAAAAATTTTGGAGGCTCGGCCTATTGGACCACGATGGCAGCGGCGCCACCCAAACACGAAAAAAAGTGTGCAGCTGGCGGTTCAAAAAGCGTTGACGCGCTGCAAGGGGCCTGCAGGCCCCGGTGGCAAGCACCAAAGGCAATAGGGAGGGAATTCGTTTCATCCAGACAACAGGGATGAGGTGGCACTTAGGGTCTCGTTAGACACTCCTAAAAGAATCCTAAGAAATTTAGGACGAGTCCTAAGAAAAAGATGTTTAGGACTCTCTGCGTGCTGGTTCGAAGAATCCTAAAACTCGACCTCTTAGGAGTAGTCCTAAAAGTTACCCCGCAGCCAATTTTATATGTGTACATGGAGGCGCAGCGCCGACGTCCGCCCATTGTCGTCTTGTGTTTGTGGTGCACAGGGATGCGAACCCCATACGGTCGTTCTCTTGGGCAAAAAGAAGGTGTGCGGTGAAGCGTATTGGAAAATTCGAATTTGAATTCCCTGCAGGCTGGGCAAGGGCGACTGGAGGGTGCCGGGTCGCCACCGATGACGTACAAAGGTGCTGTGCAAGGAGCGTGCAGGGAGGTGTGGTTGTGTTTCACGTATCGATTCCCCCCAACTGTGCGCGGTGTGTGACGCTTTCGAAGGCGGCGAAACCAGGCGGGCGTTGTCGAAGTCCAGCACTGGCGAAAGGTCGGCGATGGAGATATGGGTGTCGGTGGCGGCGGCCATGCGTTGTCTGCTGAAGAGCGGGATGCGGTAGTGCTGGTGGTGACGACCATCGTTCTGGACGCGGAGAGGGAGAGGGCGTCCACATCCCGCGGTATGCATTTGGGGTTGCGCAAGCACAGGGCTTTGTTGCAGTGTGTGGTTGATGCGCCCGATTGCGTGGCAACATCAGAAGCCCTTGTGCAGCTGTGCACACAGAAAGAATTCGAATTCCGACCGTTGGCCGTCGTCGTCTGCCCGCAGATCATCCAAGCTGGAGGCGGTGCACCGTCCCTTCTCCCCCGCCCCGCAGTCCTTCCGCACCCAATGGTCAGCTACAGCGCGGGCACGACACTGCATGACCTCGCCTGCAGGACCTCCCCGCCCCAACGGCTTCCGGTTCTTGCCGTTGCTGTCGTCCCGCAGCCGAAGGCCTGCAATGTTCGCACAGCGACCCCACGGACAACGTCTGCACCACAGAGGTCTGGACATTGATGTGCTGCACGCGTCTGTCGCATCGCCAAAGCTCCACTAAACAAGAATTCCCGAATTTTAAAGCTCCTCGTGAGGAGCTTTATTTTTCCGGTCGATTTGCCTGCGGATCTCTAATTTTTTTTAGGAATGCTCCTTGCACTGTTTTCACATTTTTCTTCACGATTTCGTTTTGGGGACGCTTCTAACCACAGTGCACTCCTAAAAACTGGCGTGTCTAGCAAGACCCTTAGTCTAGCAAAGAGGATTGAAATGAACGGCCGAATCTGGATGTGTTTGTGGAGAAAAACAGAAAAGAATGATTGATCTCACTTTCTGCATCTCTGCGTAAAACACTTCAAGATTCAGGGCATACTCTCACTAGGACTTTCTGGGATCCATATGGCCTCCTTTCTGACCTGCCCTGGATGCACCTGACCACTATTATGTCCACAGAGAAGGAGTAAAAGTCCTAGTGTGTGTATGCCCTCAGCCGGTTAATCGAATCCTCTTTGCCAGTGGGACCAAGCCCCTGGGTATTCCAAAACATACCTCCAAAAGAAATAAAAAATAAAAAATAGCCTCCAAGTCTGGCAGAAACAGCACTATCTTGAATATCCTCCCTGACACTGACTTACAGTAATATCCCCTGCTGACAATTAATAGTGCACCCCCCTCCACCCAAAAAAAAAAAAAAAGAAGAAAAAGGGTCAGCCAGGGGCACGGTCTCACTAGCGAAGTAGATGGGATTAGGAACCTGAGTCCGGCATCTGTTCTCAAAGAAGTCCAGATTCAGGCATTAAAGTTGATGATTAAACCCAATCCTCTGTGCTAGTGGGACCTTGATTCTCATCCTTCTGGACGTATGTCGAAGTTGGAATGATACACAGAGAGAAGATAATGGGCTTGGTACCACGGCTCACCAAATGTGCAAAAGGAGAACAAATCTTCCACATAGAACATGGAAAGATACACTGCCATAGTTTTTGTCTTTTGTGCATGCGGTGAATGGAGCTAGGCTCTATAGCATGGCCCCTGCTCAAGGATGACACACATAAATGGCTTGTCTCATCATCCAGGTATGACGAGTCATCTTTTTTAGGGGATCATCTATATTCGTAGATACAGGGAAGTACACTGGTAACAGGCGTATAAAATATATGCCTATCGGTTTTCCTTTTCTGCTCCTCTCTTCCTTGTGTTTAACACCTCTTCCTTCACTCTACCTCTTTCCCATAGCGTGCAAGTGGGCTGTTATGGCATATGGGGATGGGGGCAGCTCGCGCTCAACTTCATCAATGTGGCGAGCCTTGTACGTTAGAGGCATAGTGGAGGAGGGGTTAAGAAGACTGAGAAACTGAATGATTTCAATGTGTCTTTGTTTTTTATTTTTATCCTTTGATTCAGTGTAATTTTTTTTTTTGTAAAACACTGAAAGAAATAATAATACTGTGAAACAAAGAATAAGAGGACACTGTTTTGTGTCATTCTGGTTTGTCTGTCTCTTTGCCTGTCTGTCCTTTCGTTTTTCTTTTCTTCGCTCATCTTATTTCTTCTTCCACTTCACGTGCTTACGCTCTTAGTCAATAGTTCTGTGACTATATATCGTCAAATGTTTGTGACGATATATACTACGACTTCGCTAGCTTCCTGCTACGGTTTTTTCCGGTCAGGTCGAGCGGCAGGCGGCCATGCTGTGCCTCTAGTGCCAGCGGCGTGTCTGGAGTGTATTTTTTGGCTGTGACAGACCTTTCTTTGTTTCGTGGATGTTTTGCTG